TTGAAGCACTAATATATATATATATTTAGATTTAGATTATGAAATTATGAACATACTGATAATAATAAAGGTATTACCATCCTTTGTCACTTGCTATTAATTTCACATTAATCTTTTCATTTCGAAACAGGCTGTGAAACTAACTACATCCAAACGTTCACATTTCTCTATTTTTACGGCATTTTACGATATGGCAACTTTAAATTATTAGGAACAAGGGATAGATACAAGCGGTGAAATAGGTACTCTACTTGCTTAAAATTACATCATCTAGATAGTGCTGAAAATTTTACAAAATTGTAGATAAACATAATTGAATTTCCAAAGTAAGGAGTAGAAAACACGGGTGAAATATACAAAAGTAATTGCAAAAATCATGAATGATCAAGATTATTTCCCGTTATTTCGGACACAGTTTTGAAAAGTTGTGTGATTTCGAAGGGGAAATCAATTGGTGACCTTTAATGTGTACTTGTCATTCAAGGTCAAGTTGTGTCAGTTTTTTATTGTCAAGGAGCGAGAAATTTGATAATCGAAAGTAGGTACACTCTTAAAGCTATTTGATCTTAATATCTTATATTCCGAATGACGATTCTTTGGAATATTTTTTTTTTCCAATCACAAGCAAGCGCTTCTTCTATGTTTACCAGTATGAACGCATTTAATTGACAAATTGAACAGCAGTTAACTGCAAAAGAGAATTAAATATTAACTTAGCTGTAAGTACATATTTATGTACCTTACAGCTGCTTGATTTGATATTGTTAAGAAATATCAAGGTTTCTGGATCGAGAAGAAAATGATGAAATGGAGCAGCTGCAACGATAAGATCACGACAGCAACGCTTTGTTCTTCATTTTCGCTACATAGAAGCAAAATATGATGTACGTATGTACGCCTATCAATAAATCATTATTGCACTACACATTAAACAGTCCTTTATTGTTATGGTAGCCTCAGTAGTGTACAACGTTTACGTGAAATCAATATACGTACAGTTGAACCTCTTTAAGTCGAACCGCGATAAGTCGAAAACCTCAAAACTCGAAAAAATGTTTCCTTTCAACCCCCAAAAACTTCATTACTCGAAATATCAACCCTCTATTAGTCCAAATAATCAGCGAGTCCCTGCAAGCCATATTAGTACATATTTTCCCTCTATAACTCGAAAAATTAAATTGGCCCTCTGTATCTAGAACATACCAGTGTTTTACATATTTTACAACCTTTACAACTCGATAGTTTGAAACTTATTACGTCTATAGTTCGAAGAAAACTAAGTTATCGACTTTAATGATTTGACAATGTAAGTATTGAAGTCATTGTTTCTTAGAAAACAATTTAGGAGTATACAATAAATAGTATTACCACTAAAGAAATTTAGTCAAGTCAAAATACTCCATAAGTCGAAAACTGTATAACTCGAATTTTTTGGCGTCTCCCTTGATGTTCGAGTTATAGAAGT